TTCAAAGTTTATTACGCCACGCTTTGGGACCTTGAACACGCGAAGCCCTGCTGGTGGATATTGACGTGCTGTTTTGATTTTTTCGTACCCATCATTACGTATCTCTGGATCAGCGTCGGTTATCATGGCTAATAATATATTTTCTGGGTGAAAATAATATGCATTATTTTCTATAGCTGAACGTATAATGGCTTGAACAGCATTATCATGGCTAATAATATATTTTCTGGGTGAAAATAATATGCATTATTTTCTATAGCTGAACGTATAATGGCTTGAACAGCATTTGATAGTTCGCGTATCCAGCAAATATACTTAAAAACGTGTCTACTTCCATGAATTGCTTGTGGCTGGCTCTTTAAAAGAAACCAGAATGGTGCATAAACTTTCACAACAAACTCTACCATGTTTCGCAACTCCGCTGACGGGCTTTCTTTGGAAACTGTTGTAAGCCACCGAGCTGTACTGACGGGACCGGGGCTCTTACTAGCGAGATATTCATCGCATTCACCATTATTTACTGCCAAAACCATATCAAATAAATAACGCTGATCATTGCGTAATTCCCAAGAGCCAATATTTTCAGGAATAACTCCCATAGCAATAGCCTCAAAACCACTTACAACCTGATAAGGAAAATATATGTTTTTGTTTATAACATTAACTATTATAGTGTGGGCAACCTACCGGGTATTTGGTGCAAGTCATAATTTCAGACCCCAACACCCCTGGCCAAACACCAGGTCCTTTCTGCTTGCCAATATAATGCGTTAACAACTTTGACTTCCACAATTTATAAAATTTATTGGCATGATTAAATTACAAGAGGTTAGCTCGCTATTGACAGCGTCAGTTTTGCACTCCCCGGGTTGCTGATGCGACGAAAACAAAGAGTATAAATTTGGGAAAAATCGTAGCAAAAATGTACCTAAATTGGTACGAAAGCAGTGAGATTAAATTTCCAACTAAGAAAACTGTTGGAGGAATTTGTGGCGGCGAATTTTGTTAGCTGACCTAACCATGGGTAAACGACTTCATAGATTAAAAGGAAATGTGATGACATGTTAATTTTAAAAATCGGCCGTCAAATACCCAACTTTCAACGAAAAAACCTTTTCGGCTGTATTTCGAAGGGTTAAAAAAAAAATAAAATAAAAATTTCGAAATCCTCTCAACATAATCCTTAAATTTAGGTTACTCTGTTGCATAA